CGGCCACATGACTGTCTAGGAACGACTCTAGGTCAACTTTGCGCCTGAACTGACAGCTAAGTACTTCCACCGACAAAAATCACAGTCACCAACTCTTCACGTTGCGAAACAATAACGCAGGAGTAATGGTGCCCTTCAATAGTACGCCCAAGGCTCCGGTTCGACTTTCTCCTGAGCCAGCCGAGTCTCTCAATCCATTCGAGGTCTGAAAATTAGAATCCTACTTGTCTGGAAAGCTCTCTCCGGTCCAAGAAGGTTAGTGAAGGTTTGTGGTGAAGACGCTTGAATGACTTAACACGGCTATCCCAGATTTATAGGTAGAACGTGCTCCACCAGAATTCAACAACGTTCATAAGGAAGACAAAAATTTCCAAGTAATATACGAACTCATACACAGCAAATCAGAAAACCATCATGAATTAAACCAATCGAAAAAAAAGCACTGTGGTAATCCACACCTTCCAAGTGATAAGGGTTCACGTAAAAATTTATCTTTCTGCTTTGTAAAGGCGTGTTTTTTTCAAATTTTATTTGACCCGTCATATCTACTGTGCAGGTCCCAGCACTTCCTACATCCAATTCGTTTTCTCGCATACATCGTCCACGAAGATCTTTCAAGTTTTTACGTGTGGCTTCAGTTGCTGCTTGAGGATTTTCATTTCATCTTGATTGTCGTAGAGTGCTGGTCGAGCAATTCTCCCTGTAGCCCTGAGATAACTGGGCTGGAGCGTTCCCAATTGGATTGCAGAGAATGACTTCTTCCAGACAAGTCCGGTACCAATTTCCCGACCCCGGAGGGAGGGGAGGCTTGGTTGGCCAGGAGCGAAATCGAACTAGCTCTATGCTCGTGATAACGGGCATCAATACCACTGTGATATCTCCAAGGCGTGTTATTCTTTTATTCTGTCGAATCCCAGTACTGACACCTTTTTTGCCACACTGAAGGTTCAGCGACGGACAAACCATCATTACAAGATGTTTTATTAAGCAAATAAATATTTGTCGCGATATAGCAGGTGATTCATGAAGACAGCACATTCATGTTCTATCTGTCCATGACGCATTTTTGATAGAAGTATATTCCGTCTAAGCATTTAAGCATTTAAGATCACTGCATTCGCATTTTGAATACAATGTTTTAAAGGTCAGATTAGGCCTTCTTATGGGTTATGTTAGAGACGTATCCAATTATAACATTAACACCACAACGTTTGAGATTTACATGAAAATTTTAGATTGAAATCTGTTTGGAATCTGCTTAAACGCCGGATTTGCCATGCGACATTGTCCTCGATGGATCCAGGTCTAGAGCAGCAGTTAAGAGTGTCCTGCAATACACATGGTAGTTGGTTCTTTCCATTACGTGAGCAAACCAGGATCTCTATCAATTCACGTTTGACATATTGGCCTGACTTGTTTAGGAGTATAAAAGTACTGACCTCACACATTGGCAGGTCACTGCAATTCAATGTATACGTCAAATATGCACCCAGTAACGCTAACAGTGCTTGATGAAGTCGAACCCATCGCTCCTTCCTCAGGGATTCACTAACGCTTAACAGTCTATCTTTCATCCCTTATCGTCGAAGGAATCACCGTATAAGTGGAACAATTCCTTGCCACTAATAAGAGCGGGAATGCTCTGGTGCAGCTGTTATGTCGATTTTTCATAAAACTACACTAGCTCAGGAATCAATATTTAATGAGGCAGGTTAGAACATTGATACCACCGAAGCAGTTAGACGAGTTTAAAGAGCTACTTTACTTTAATGGTAAACCGCTCATAGATAATGACGAACTAGGCAGTAGTCTCATTTGAAATATTCGCAAGGCTAAAAACACTAGGAAGGAGGCGTTGTTATCATGAACCAAGACGTCGTAATCTGGCAAAGAAACAATGACATTAAAATCAAGTCCACCACCCTAAAAAGAGGAACGACGCTGTTATCACCACTTTGTGATGAGCACAGCGACAACAGGTGCACTTTGAAAGATGTGTAACGAAACAGGAATATTCCCTTCATTGCAATCCTGGAAGTACATTTTCGAATACGAATTTAACTGCAGCATTCTGTTATTGATCCCAGAACATGCTGAATTCAGAGAATTGGATAATTATAGAGGAAGTGCAGAATGTAAAAACAACAGAAGCATTGGTAGAGATCTCATTGAAGAGACAGGGCACTACCACAGCACAGCTCTGAGCAATTCAATTTCGTGAGGAGATCAAATCTTACAGCCGTCATTATCTGTTGGTAGTTGGGAAGATTTTGTTAGTTCTATGGTAAACAAACAGTGCACGAATAATTCTAACTTGTTGTTTACTGCCTATTCTTTTTAAAGGCAGGGTATATTGCGAAATATAACTTTAAATGATGCTGAGATATTTGCAAAACTCCAGACCGCAGATGTCTGCGGTGGGGAATAAGCTATTGCCCTTTCCGGGGAGTAGCGCGTTCACCACCACACCATGTGGTGATTCGTTTCGCCTGTCTCTCAGCTAGTTCTATTGATCAGCGCCATCAGCAATCACCCGTCAACGGGGCTGATCTAAAGAGTCCCAAATCGTCAACGAATCTAGTTAAGCTGAGGCTGAAGTCGAAGTCACAGTCTTAACCTTTTTATTTACTACTTACTGTAATGGTGGTTGATGATGGCAAAAGATCGATAGAACTAGCCGAGAGACAGGCGAAACGACCTCTGACGAGTGATTGCTAACGGTAAAAGGTCAATAGAACTAGCTGAGGGACAGGCGAAACGACCGCTGACGGGTGATTGCTGATGGCGAAAGATCGATAGAACTAGCTGAAAGACAAGCTAAACGAAGGACCAGCATGGTGTGGTGGTGAACGAGTTACTCCCCTGAAAGGACAATAGCGCGTTCGTTCCCACCGCAGACACCTGCGGTTCGGAGTTTTGCAAGTATCTCAGAATCATTGAAAGTGTACGAATATTTAGCCATAATATGCTGCTAGCGACTGGTATCACGATGGTAATAATATTTTTCATTAGATGCAAGGCTCAGGTTCGAATCTTACCCGCCGGGGATCCACTGAGTTTGCAACCCCTCCCACGTTAAGAAACTGGAACCACATTCGTCTAGGATCAGTTCAATCCTTCCAACCCAAGACACCGCCTGATTAAATGCTCGTATTAATGAACTAATAGTGACAACATAACATCAAGTTGATTGTTGAAAAGTAATAAGTAATTGATAACAACCATATAAGGAAAAGTTAATGGATAGGAGTTTATGAAGTTAAAAAATAAAGAAATGTGGTGCACCAAAAGGAGAGATATAAAGTCTTCTAATAGAATAATGCTCCCTCTACGTTACATGCACAAAAGGTTACCAAAATGGTATCGAACAATTTTAATTTTAACACGATAAGGATGCAGAGATATTTGCAAAACTCCGTAGAGTAGGTGTCTGTGGTGAGATCGAACACGTTATTAGCCTTTCTGGCGATAACGCATTCACCACCACACCATGCGGGTCCTTCGCTTCGACTGTCTCTTAGCTAATTCTATTGAACTCTGCCATCGGTAATCACCCGTCAACGGGATTGATCTGGAGAGCTCAAATCGGCATTGAACCCAATTAAGCAGTTGCCATAGTTAAAATCTCAATGTTAACTTTTTATTTTCAACCTACTGCAAATTTTTCACGGCAAGGTATTATGTGAAATACAACCATAACTATGCTAAGATATTTCCAAAACTCGGGGCAGCAAGTGTCTGCGATGGCGATCGAACACGTTATTACCCCTTCCGAGGGCCAACGCCAACGTAGATAGAACACTATCGGAGAGACAGGCGAAACGAAGAACGCGCATGGTGTGGCGGTGAAAGCGTTATTCAGGCAAAGGGTAATAGCTTGTTCGATCCCGACCGAAAGCACCTGTGGTCCGGCGCTTTGCAAATTTCTCTGCATCATTGTGGTTGTACTCCACATCGTACCGCCGCTAAAAACAGGAGTATACAGCGAATGAAAAGTTAGCGTTCTAGTTATAAAGAATGTTCAGGAGATTAATTGCGCGAATTATGCAGAAAAAATCTAAACATCAACTAAATTATGTAAAGTTTTCTATCTATGAAAGAAAAAATCACTCTTTCGTGCTGAAAAGGTGCAATCACCTTCTACACTTCCAAATCCTAGCGAATTCATTATAACAAGGAACTATAAGCACCGAGTCGACGGAATCCATCATGGATTGTAATGTCCTTGGCCGGCGCTGATCAATTAAATGAATGAACGAAAGAAAGAATTTTGCTGCACAACAACACCACTTCGCTCGACACGCGATAAGTAAATCTCAGAGTGAAACAAAATAAGAAATTTTGCAGATATTGAGTGAAATTCATGACTTTTTGCGAGAGCGTTCTATGGTTAGCCACAAACTGGCACATTCTGGTCGCAAGTTGCCATGAACAATTTTTGTCCACTTTTCTAAAAAACCTCAGCTTTTCCTAAGAGTGGTAAAAGGTTAGAAATCTTGCGAAATGCTGTAATATGCCTACTTTCTTCGTTTGCAACTTATCACTAGGTTGTTACCATGCATTAATTTGGCTAACGTTTCGACGTTTTCGCCTTCTTCAGGAGCGCAACGATCCGAGTCGATTGCTCACAGTCGTTTAACATCGCAATGTGGGTCTTTGCAGTCTCATTGAGTCGAATCGCAAAAAATCATTTATGGTTCAACTGGCCCACTCGTTGGAGCCTGTGCCATATCAGCTATCCTTTTATCCTTCAGTGGTCGGCAAGTTTTTACCAGACTTGTCTTGGAGAAACTCTATCCAATCCATAGAGGTTGTCAGCAGCCCGTGGTCACGATTTAGGAACGCTCTAGCATAACTATTTAGGAATTCCAAAAACTATTACAGCGTTCTATTGTTTTGAGTGTAGCGATCAGATCGTCAAGACAACAAATGGCACAATCCAACCTATAGAGAGCGGCTATCGCTCAATGGTTTCAAGCCCCTTTTGTTCAATATCTAACCTAAGCGAAAATCGCAAAGACAACACGTTTAGCGGCCTCCAGGTAACAAGTTTGTTTGTTTGTCGCTTGAGACCGACCCTGTGACACAGCCTTGATAAACATTAAATCTACACAATGCCTGTTCGCGTGCATATAGGAAGTTGGACAAGCCGCCAATTTTTCTTCATGTATGAAGAATGCCCCACGGAACTCCCTCATATGAAGGATCTCGAGTCGGTTAGTAGCGAGGCTACGTGGCGCGTCTCCAGGTGGAGGATAGGGGGCCAATAGCGGACCAAAAGCGACCATTGGTTCCCTGAAACGCAGGTGGATCCAGGAAATGGACTCCCTGTTTCTGCTGCTCTGATTTGGCACATACTCTCTGTATTTGCTATGCGTATTCATTCATGTGTGTGTGGGTGCGTTCTTGCTTATGCGGATTGTATTCTACGAGTCAATTCGGCCAAAAGCCTGCAGTCAAGTGACAGGGAAGTATATGCGAGGCGGTTAGAAATCGCCTCCTACAAATAACCTCCATGTCCACTCTGGGAGAGCCTGGCAAACTACCCGTGAATATACCCAGCCCCCACGTTTAGAGCCCAGCAAGCTTTAGGTGGGAATCAAAAAATGCTGAACGTAGTAAAAAAAACGGGCCTCATTCCCCTATCCTCGAAAGAGCCCCCAGTTTCGCAGGGTTGGGTAGGACGAGCACGGAGAGGCTACTAATATCTCAGGGCGAATGGAAGCTGTCTGGATTTCAAAGAACTATGGTGGCGATTTGTGCCTACAATTCACATACACTTGCATCCGAGTTCTCGATAGTAGACTTGCTCATGCAAGCAAGAAGGATAAAGTACATCGTCATCGGCAGGCCGAGGCTAGACGACACCAGCCTTTCAACGCCGTGTATGACACCGGAGAAGAACTGTTACTCGGAACATGCGACACTAGAGGGGTCGGCGGCGTCTGCGTTCTCGTCAACACGAGTTTGTCCATGAACATCGATTCATTCGAACAACTTACAACCTGAATCGAGCGTTTACGATTAAAAAGTCGTGGACCAATTCCGGTTTTGACAATCTTTGTTGTTTACGCGTCGACATTAAACTATGACGAAGAAGAAGTCGAAGCGTTCATTGGACCATCCATGGTAACTCGCAATTCCAGAAGCTCCATACTCAGCGCTGGACGTGGAAGTTTCCCAATGGAGAGTACCATAACGAAATAGACCACATCATAGTAAATAGAAGGTTTTGCCTAACCGATGTCGCTGTTGTCCCAAAATTCTACACGGGATCAGAACACCCGTCTCCCTCGTGCAGAATTCTATTTCTCGCAGAAAAGAGAAAAAGCCGCTAAATTCGAAAACCGAAGTCCCAGAACAGCTCTAAATTGGGACTTATTCAATTCATTGGTCAGCTGTTGAGAAGATGCCACCCTTGATACCATCGACGAAAAATACGTCCGGCACATGTTAAAACATGTTAACGTTAGTTTTTCGTGGAAAGTAGAAAATGATGCTAGTTTAAAAATACGAGGTCCCAAAATTGCCATATACAGCGAGTTATCTAATAATTCATTAGTCGGCAGATGGGAAAACGCTATTCTCGAAACTTCAATGAGGAGTACGATAAGCTCATTGAACATGTTCAAGTTAGGGCTATGAACGCTGAGTTCGAAAGTCACCAAGAGACGTCTGTCTCCAGAAACACTCGATCTGATGCGCCAGAATGGAATCTCACGAGCTGTAGGCAACCGCAAACTAACGTCTGAACTTGAAAACAATGCACATAGGCGATAAGAAAAGATCTTAAAAAGAAAAGAGCAACAGCAATGGTCGAAACTGCAGAGGATGGGAAAAGCATTTGCGAAGCCCGCCGAAGCTTCGTCAATTGATGACCAAGATGATTGTACTCAGACTCCCAGACGGAACAGTTACAGCGTACAGAAAGGCAATAGAGAAAATCATTTTTCGAAAACGTATACTACACAGATCTCTCCGACAGCCACGTCCACCCTCCGTCATACGATATAATGGAAGATGGATATGTAGTATCACCGGTTCTCCCTCCCGAAATCCGACATGCCATTTCGTCGGTGAAAAGTCGAACAGCACCAGGTCCAGACAGGATAAGACCAGAACACCTAAAGAACCTTCCGCCAGTGCTCTCAAACACACTGGCTCGGCTCTTCACACGTTACCTCTCTGAATGCAAAGTCCCTACTCAGTGGAAGACCAGTAAGACTCTGTTATTGTTCAAGAAGTGTGACCTACGCGATATCGGCAACTATCGCTCAATCTGCCTGCTGTCTGTCATCTACAAACTTTTCACTCGAGTCATCCTAATCAGAACTGACAGAATACTGAACGAAGGGCAGCCATGTGAGCAAGCAGGGTTTCGAAAAGGATTTAGTACGACGGACCACTTCCACACGATAACAAGGCTCATTGAAATATCGCGAGAGTACAAAAGACAGCTCTGTCTCACTTTCTTCGATTTGCAGAAGGCCTTTGATACAATTGAGATAGAAGTAGTCATGGAAGCCCTTTATAGTCAACGAGTCCCCACTCAGTAAAGAGAGAATCTTTCTGAACTGTACAAAAGTTTTACAACCAAGACATCGCCATTCTAGAACGATTATAACATTGACGTCAAAAGAGGAGTTAGACAAGGCGACACCAGCTCACTTTTCCAGGACGTCATGCAAACATTGGAATGGGATAATATGGGAGTGAAAATCGATGGTCGGCAGTTACATCATCTTTGCTTTGCTGATGACATCGTCCTTATAACACCAAACACTAGCCAAGTGGAACGTATGCTTGCCGACTTTGATAAAGCCTGTGGAACGATTGGTCTTGGACTAAATCTCACAAAAACGATATTCATGAGGAACGGTTTGGTTTCGTTGCCCCATTCACGCCTTACGAAGCAAATATCTCCGAATGCTCCAGTAATGTCTACCTAGGTTGGGAAATCAATATGATGAACGACTTAGCAACAGAGCTGAGCAGAAGGAAACGAGCGACTTGGGGAGCTTTCAAGAGCATCGAGGATGTAGTAAAGAGGACAAAGAACACCCGACTTCGTGCTCACGTTTTCGACTCAACGGTACTTCCTTCCTCAACGTATGCGTCAAAAACCTGGTCGCTGCGTAAGCAGGATGAAAAATCACTCAGCGTTATTGAACGCGCAGTCGAAATGACGATGCTAGGAGTATCCCGTTACACACATGTAAGGGAAGGAATCCGAAACTCCGACCTGCGCCAACGAGTAAAAATCAAACATGCTGTTCTATACGCCAAACAGTCGAAAATAAGATGGGCTGGACACGTAATGCGTATGAATAACAATCGATGTCAACCGACAACCGAACAAGAGCCGTTAGTGCTGAATTCCTCGGGATGTCAAGCGTGCTGCAAGAAGACCACCAAACCGATGTTCAGAGTTCTTCACGAAGAGCCTAGAAAAAAGGCATGATGCTCAACGAATTCTTAAAGCGAGCAGAACCCACTGTGCTGCTCTTGTACGCAACAGGAAAAAATTGAAGACTAACTGGCGCCCGCTCGAGTCACTCGTCGATCAACGGGACTACAGCTGATACAGGTGATGAAGAATGCACCATGAATTCGCCTTATTAAACGTGGATAGAGTATTATTTTTTTGGCAATTTAATTAACTACAGCTTAACTTGTGGTTTATCTTAATTTAGTTTTCACGGTTCAACAATTTATACAACCTCCAGACTTAAATTTATCAAGTTGGTGTTTCTATGCCCACAAATATGTGTAATACTAATCTTTCGAACCCGGAGTGATGAAAGTCTTGGTTGACGTGTAGCTCCAGGTAGAACCACGAACCAAGTGTGTATTGCAGGTATCTTTAATCACGATGCTATATGTGGGCGAGTTGGAATGTTCAGTCCCTTTCGCGGCGAAGGTTTTTCTTTAGCAACTGATCATAAAATTTCTTTCAGCGGTGTATTTTAGTAGTTCAAAACTCTTTAGATTCATAAAGAGGCTTTGTTCTATCTCATTCATCTTATAAAGAATTGTTGTATAGTGTCCATTTAAATTTAAGTGTGACTATATCTAGGAATTCCAAAAAGTTGTAAGAAAATGTAGGATTTTTAAAATTTCCGGCTCAGGAGAGGCAGCTTCGAACATGAGCAATGTATTAGATGCTATGACCCTACCCTGCTAAAGGAATAGTGCTAACAATTAACAAGAGCGACACTGAGCTGTAGATGTTGTTCCAGAGTTGAAATCAGGGGCATTATTTTCAGATCATATGATTCCTGTAAAAGTCAAATCATCGTATAAGGTAGGTGATAAAACAGCAGCAATATAGAAAGCTAATAACAGCCATTTAAAGAAAAGACTGTTAGAGACCCTCGCAAGAGTTTACTGCCTCCTCGTGGCTGAGAGCTGTTCCTTGGTGCCGGCCTGCGATGTACAGCGGGTGGATTCATCCTACCATCAATACTTCGCAAGCTGGGAAGGAGTCCGGCGTTTCCATCAGGGAGCCCAACAAAAAGTAAACCAATACCAGAATCCACAACCGTCTCGGTATCAAACTAGTCACATGATGGGAAATCTCTCTCTGATCCACAAGGGCTGCGACTGCCTGTGGTGGTAACAACCTAGGGTTGACACTGGCCAGTCTGACCTCAGGACTCCAGTGAAACATGATAGCAAAACCGGCACAACTCCGAAAAATGGAGATTATGCTAGAACCCGCATCAGTAACTATTGTGCTCAACTTCTTAGAAATAATTTGTGTGGTGGTATTACAATGCAGATGTCATCGAAATATTTCTTTCCATGAATAACACAACTGTAAACAACGAAGTTAAGTGTAGTGACAAAACGCTTACAGTAGCTAACTATTTGACCATGTTAATAAATCTACAGGTAGATAGAAAAGATAGTCAGATAGAAAATTAGCTGACAAAAACGCGAAATGAAGGATTCGCATGGGGTGGTGGTGAACACGTTAGACCCCGGGAAGGGTAGTAGCGGGTTCGGTCTCAGCCGCATACACATGCTTTCCAGAGATTTGCAAACATCTCAACATCATTTTGGTTGTATTTCACATAATACCCTGCCGTGAAAAATTGTAGTAGGCAGTAAATAAAGAGTTAACAATGTGATTTTTACAGGCTGAGCTGGTGAACGATAAGGTGTTCCAGAAATAAGAACACGGCGCAGAGCATAGCTCTGATCTGCTGTACGTCAAACATGTTCACTGTTCTTATGAGGTGTCTTCTAGATTGGTAGAAGTAGATTCACATATCTTCTAACGACACGCTAATTTGGTAGTTTAACCAGAGTTTCTCTTGTTGCTCTTCTCTCCGATCGCGACAGCTTGATGACTCTCCTCATTTTGGCAGCACTCACTTACAAACTTGAGAAATCGCTGTTATACACGAAGAATTAATGCAAGAGTGCTGAGATAAGGTTTGGTGGAGCTGCACTTCGTTTAGAGATACTGAGCTCGTGCATTTCTCTCAGGTGTTTTTAGCGCTGGTGATTCCAGTAAGTAGGCGCAGCGTTGTTCTACTATTTTTTCACTCGAGATCAAGGCTTTTCTCAGGTGTTGTTGCTTGTATAGCAGCATTGCTTCGTGGCTTTTTTTGTAGACTGAGACAGTTCAGGTACTTTTCCTTGTGTTCCTACGGACTCAAATGAGTGTGTAATTTCTACATCGAATTATACGATCCCGATTAATCGTATGTTTGCGAGGACTTCAAGATTTTTTTCATAGGATGTGAGTGACCGGTTTTTCAGAATTTTTTCTATTTATTCTTCTTCTTTCTCTTCTTCTTTTTCTACTGAAACATTCATTCTCCTCTAGCATCTTCGTTGATTATCATTTGCTAGCACTCCTTTTGCTATGTCGTTTTCCGTTGTTACATCGTGTATTGCAAAAGATGTTGAAGAAATTTCCTTGGTAAGGTATTGAATCTGTTTTGGTAGTTCCTTTTGCACTATTGCTGTTCTTCTGTTGATAATTTGAGCACAGGGTTTAATGTTGACTGGTGCGCAGTAATGATTCGATTGTGCCGTTTCCAGTTGAGTGATTCCTCGCTAAGAGAGTTGTTTGCGAACATAGCACTAAAGTTTTCGCCTCTTTAATCTTTGAGCACATAGTAAATAGATGAATTCTCCATTTATGAATGATGGCCAAAATGGTTGTTTTATGAAAATGGGTCCGTCCCGCTGAATATGATTTATTTAGCTGGTGCATTAGTTGCCTTATCATGCATCATTTAGTTCAGCTGCACAGTCATTTTGGTTGTATCGTATTTACACGTGCCCACCATAGGTGGATGTTGCGATATATTCATCTCTTTACGTATTTCTTCCATTAGATAGTTCGTCTGCGAAGGCATACCGCTTCACCAAGCCTTCCACCATTCCATCTCTCCTGGGTTGGGAATTTGATAACCAACTTGCCCGGGAGGATAGCAGCATTGATTCAATTCATCGCTATGCAATAGCTAGCCATTGTAGATGTCTGATGTGCAGTCAGTCGCCTTCAACGGATTTTTACGAAGTCGAGTGCATGGCACTTCCCTCAGGGATTGACCAACGATAGCTAGAGCTAGATTCTTTGCTGTTTCTTCCCATTCAGTCACGTCGGCGATCTTATCCAGGAGACTGCGATTCCAAGTCAAGAATATTAATACTTTCTGTAGAGATGTATATGTTGCGTGAGCTAAGCGGGTTTCAATTGTTAGAGCTTTCAGTTCGAGAATTGGGGTAATTGAATTGTCTTTCGGACTGAAGGCAGCGGAGTCGACTGCAGCAACATACCGACAAGATGTATAATCACTAAGATATTTAGATGGCTCTTTCTTACCTGCCCTGCAGCCGAGGTATCAACTTTTCTTTTGCATGAATTCGACTATCATTCACTTTTTCTTTGGTAAGCAACCACATGGTTGTTATTAAAGGATATCCTCATTTAATTAGCTGATGCTTCACTGGTTTGGCCTTCTTCCGAGCGTGAGGTCAATTGGCAAGCAATCTATTCAGAGAAACACTTTCATAACCTCAGCAGATAAAACTCAGTGCATCAATTTTTATACGAATAATAGACAGTTTTTTCTAAACACTGAGCGTTTTAAGACCCATTTAGAAAAGGGTGAAACGAAGAGCCCGCTTCGTGTCATGGTGAACGCGTTAGCCCCTCGAAAGGGTAATAGCGGATTCGATCCCCACCGCAGACACCTGCAGACGGAATTTTGCAAACAACTCGACATCATTTAGTTATATTTCATATCATGTCCACCCATTAAAAAAAGAATAGGTAGTAAATGAAAACTGATCACATGCTGACCGTTTTGTTCTTTGAAAGCCTCCCAATTATTTGGTGGAGTTCGGACTCACACTCTTAAATGGGCGAGAAATATGCTTCTGATGTTAAAATATCAGTCTTAAACACTGTGTTAGACGACGTTTGATTACGGGCATTCCTCTCTGCTACTCATTTCCGGATTCATGGAATTTATTCAGAATGCCTCAAGCGTTTTTGAGTTAAGCTCTGATGCTTTCGATCCCCGTACGAGGATGGCAACCTTCACTTCAAAATCTCCTCCGTGATATCTCTGTGTTCTATACGGGCTCAGTGGAGTATTTGGTCTAAGTTTATGTTTACCGACTAGCTGATCTTTTATGCGGGCGCGGAGTGGTCAACCGGGTTCGGCCAGTGTATCCTTCCCGCACGTTTTACAAGAGATCAGATAACTGTAACTGAAATTATGAAATCACTGTCGCTACTGATAGGGTATATTACGCAATCTTATCTTGTGAATAGACGGTTATAAAGACGTTTACGAACTAACTAGCCTCATGGAGTGGTCGGTAGTATTTCAGTCATTGCTACTATTTTCTCTGGACCGGCATTTTTAACGAAAGTTTTATGGCCGTGTTTACTTCGTTGGAGATCAACGAGCAATAATCTGGAGCTTATTCTTTCTAGGATTAGAGTCTGGGACGTGGTTGTTTCCCTACACGTATCCTGTGGAGCTGACACCGTTTTGCAGCTATCGGAAATGGCTATTTGCCGCGACGATTCCAGGAATTCTCTCTGCTCTTTTCCCGTTCACCAACGGAAGTTGTATAAAGCATATGTCTCACAAACGCTCTTTCTAGGCTCTGAAGAAGGCGGATCCGTTAAAAGTTGTGAAGAATAAATGCTGTAATAACAATCTCGTAATTGCTCATCAAGAAAGCAGTGAGTGATTGGTCACTGCTGCGATGAAAAGAATTTTGGGCCTGGGAGTTCGACTATAGTAACAAAATCTCTTGCTCCTCTCTCTCACTCTCTCTCTCTGTCTTCAGTGACTCTATATGTATTCGTCGTAAATAGGCTTCTCTGGAATCTCGAGTGGTTTATAGGATGCATTAATTATGGGCTGGTCGCAATTTGAATCGTATTTCTAAAATTCACTGCTGTACTGGATTCTCGAACATGGTGTTAGCGAAAAATGAGGGACTACGGAGATTCCTCGGCATGCTATGGCTTGCATTTCTCTTCAAAAAATCACTATTGGTGTGGATTTTCGATTAACTATTAACCATTCGATTAACCATTAACTATGCACAGTGTCAACTTACTAATTTCAAGCCTTTACAACAGTTTATTTGGTATGAATCCTTGAGTATTTTATTCAACAATGAAGGGAAGGCAGCAAACAAATCAGTGAGTATCCTTGATTAATACATGGGACGGAATATGGGCAAGTCAATTGAACGTTTGAGGATCATAGAAAGAAATGAGATCACTTCATTTTTGGAACTTAAGCAACAGTACAGTTAAGTCGAGATCTGCGAACGTAACGTACAAAAACACTGTCAAAGCTCAAATACATTGGCTAGCAAATATACCTTTAAAAAATCTGAAAGAAAATAGAAATATGACATCGAACTATCGGTATTAAACATGGAGGCGACTCAGGCAGTTTTATAGCATAAGAAAAATCCTCATAGAAAAGCGAGGTCGTGCCGAAGCTCAGAGTTATCCATTCATTTTCAGATCTTCTTTTTTTCTGATTTCTAGGGCACATAATTTCGACGACTAAACTCAAAAAGAAATTTTCCTTCACGGTTTTCTACCTATCCCACTAATCGCGTTCCGAGTGAGCCAACTGAGCATCTTCTATTCGTCCCTGTCCCGTACCAAACTTGCCTAAGTGAGAGTTGTTCACTCTACGGACACGAAAGTTATGAAATTTTTTCACTGCTCAAGTCAACAACTATACTCTACCAAGTCCAAAATGCAAAACTTCTTCGTTCTTACACTATCTGGGCAACACCTGCCAATGTTGTAATTTTTTGTAATTTTGTAATTTTGTAATTTTGGTTCTAGAGAGACATTAATAGAAAAATTTTTCCCGTGCGATAGAGCGTGCCTTATTAATATAGGGTAGTTGATATCTTTTACTGAGAATAATCAGCATGTCGACATTTTCAATATATTCAAATGAGATTTTATGTCTCGGACCTTTTTTCTCTCGAATATCCTTCAGCACTGTCCAACTAATGCGAATCAACTAGGAAATTGCACCCTTATGAGTGAGAAATTCCATCAAAGTTTCGATTTCCACATTGATATTCGCTGTCGCTCGTCGAATCCTCTGTGCAATCTCGTCCGTTTCGCAGTCGTCGAAACTCCGCCCACAAAATGACGCCACCATCGCTTGAGCTTGGGCGTCTTCACTAAAGCGGAAGAAGTAATCGGTGAAATGAGAGTTAGAAGGAACTCCAAGCATTTACATTCACTAAGAAGCATGCACTACAAAGACGAACGAAAAAAAAATGAATCGAAAAGCTTCGATACTTAGGAAAAAAGGCAAAATTTTCTTTCCTTTCGCAGGAGCAATTAATATCACTATAAGGTCTAGGTCTATCTATGAAAAAAATCTTCTTAACCAACAACACACCAGTAGAAGGGATTTTGTACTTTAGCTGCTAAGATAGGCTATACATGCATGAAAATGCGGTGGAGGAACAGTTAAGAATTGAGGCAAGAACACCGTTAAGTCTTGTCTGAGTTATCTCTCTCCACATTGATCACGTTTATTTTCTACACCCCCTAGTTCTCTTGAGAGTGAGTTGTTAGATGTTTCCAACGTAATTAGGGAAGGAGCTTAAATTGCCTATACTCAGAAAGAAGTATGATCACATAGCAAGTTCATTCCTATTACCAGGATTCTATTTTCTTCCTATTCCGTCTAAATCTGGAGTCGATCAAATCTCATTAGTTGAAAGTTCTCTCAAAAACAGTCTCATGGATTCGCTTATAAAACTTATTGGTTGCATGACATTAGAGTGGGATGCCACGGATGCTATTCAACTCACTAGTGGTTTTCATTAGAAGAAGAAAACCAAGCACTTATAAGAGTTGTTCCTAAGTGTTATTGGCAATTTCATTATGTGACGGCATGGTTACTTGCTTTCAACGAGTTCTAATTTTAACTTATAATAGTTTAAACCAACAAAAAACCTCGAAATTTAAATATAAGGTTTAGACAATGTTCGTGTAAAACTTATAAGAATTTTTTAGAAATATTTAGAAGCAGAAAGAACAGAAGGAAAAAATCTCTGAAGGAAAAAAAAGATAGAAGAACTAAATTCAGCAGCACATTATAAGGCAGGTGACGTGATAGAACAATGGCTTTCATGCCCATTGAATGACTCTATCAAAAAGGCCACGAGTATTAGTTCGCCATTTTTGGTAGAAGACGAAGAAACGAAAGCGTAGAAGCAAAGCAGGGTCACCTTGCCACTGACATATGAGAGCCGTTTTTCTTGTGTTCCGTTGACGTTCTCATCAATTTGTCGCGCAACTCCAGCAGATCGATGAATGAACGACGTTTTGAGGGCGTTGATTTGATCTTGTGAGGTGTAGCCGTCAAATCCAGCTGAAAACGCTCATATACTATGTAGAACATCAAAATGGTACTGCTAATTTTACTCCATCCTATTCTATCCCGGCTCCATAAAGCGCTACCTTCTTCGAAAGCAGACAGATTGGTACAACACAAGTCCGGAAGGATGAAAACATAAACTTGATACATCAATAAATCCGTGAGTCATTTTAGGAACCAAAAAACCAATTAGCCACCTCCTCGAAAACAAATTTTCACATCTTTTATCAGCGCTGAATGATTAATCTTTTTATCCTCTACTTTCCATTTCAATGAATGACTTTGCAGTGTACTCCACACTGCCTACCGTCGGATGTGCAACGAAGTGCAGGATTCCTTCATCCGGGTGTCGGCGTGTGCGTGTCGACGTATATATGTATGTATGTATGTATATATGTATGTATGTATGTATGTATGTATGTATGTATGTATGTATGTATGTATGTATGTATGTATGTATGCGTGTGTGTGTGTATGTGCCCGTGTCTGTGTGAGTGTGTATGTGCGTGTGCGTGTGCGTGGCTGTGGGTGTGTGTGTGCTTGTGTGCTTGTGTGTTTGTGTGCTTGTGTGTTTGTGTGTTTGTGTTTTTGGAGTGTATATGTTCCGCAGTAGCTTGAGCGGTTCATATACATATACAGCAGCAACATATACAATGACTTGCGGTGGCCTACCGATGTATCGAGTCAGTGCTTCTATCGTCGTAAACAGATCTTGTTGGTACCAATCTGCTAACTCCGGAGGGATGTAAAACTTGATGAAACGACGGCGTGGGATATAAATAATGACCATGCGTATATCGAAAGGCACCTCTAACCACTGCGTTGCGCGCGCCCGTAATATGTATATATATATATATATATATATATATATATGGAAATAAAATTTATAAAAAATAAAAAATAAAAATAAAATAAAGGATTAAATTCATTCAACAAACAGCCGAAAGAACCAATAATAACAATAATCCCTAAAAAATTGAAGGCGTGAAATCTGAGAACTTCTAATTAATGCAACAAATTTTCTTAAGCGCTTAGAAAAGGGAATGCGGTTTTAGTGTGAGTTTGTTAGGCATTGTAAATAGCCTACGTATTATTGTAGCAATCATTCCATATTTTGCCACAAACATGACAAAAAACAACAGCAGCAGCAAGCAGTCTCAAGGAACAGAAAAGTCTCAAGATCTCGGTAGCCAACAGATGCAAGGAGACAAATCGAATGCAAAAAATGCTATCATTAGCATAATCGATGTGAAACACGAATCGTTTAATACATAAAGGATAAATGCACAAGGCTCTCGGTGTTGATCAATCTCTGAAGGGTGGGCTATGCATTCGACTTCATTAAGCATGGTTTGGAGGTGATTTGATGCATATCTGGCCTTTACAATGACTCGTGGTGGCCTACCGATCCATCAAGCCAGTGCTGCTATCCCCCCAGATAAATCTGGTACAAATTTGCCGACCTCGGAGTGATGGAAGGATTGGTGGGCTATAGGCGCGAGGATGGATTCCACGTGTGGGTTGCAGGGCACCTCCGACTTCTGCGCCATATACGCCCTTGTATAATATGTATATATATGTACATATATATTTATATATATAATAGAGGTTTGCAGTTCATACATTGTACTGAATGCCGTTTTACTGCAGTAAAATCAGAATGAGAACACTGATGATGTTCGAACTCACTCTCGTTTCCGCAAATATCAATAACAAACAATGAAATAAAAAGTTGAATTTTACTTAGCGCTATTTTTAAGAAAAAGAAATAATAGTTGTGAACCTTTTTTTTACAGCATTTCGACTAACTTGTTTGAGAGCGTCGTTCAGGTCGCCGCATTTCACACGCAATTCCGAAAAATGTAAAATGGTGTTCTTGACGATTTCATGAATTTCAGCTACCCAGAACTTCATCGAAAGACCCAGCGCTCGACGACATTCGTTGATGAACAGCTGCGATTGAGCCACAGCCTGAAAGTGTAAATACTGCAAAATAACCGGAAAAGGGAACGAATAATGCTTGCGATAACTAGAAGTCAGCCCAGATGACAAATAAGCCTTTTGAGAAAAAAAATAAAAAAGTTTAGACCACAAGGATGCTGAGAAGTAAGCAAAACACGGAACATCAGCTGGGCTTCAAGCCTGCAATTATCCTACCGGGGACTTACGTGCTTTCTATCAGATCAACCCAGGCTCTTGTTTTCCATTTCTCTTAGCCATGTTTCTACTTTATTTGTGCTCAGTTTCGATGCACAACTAAGGTTGTCGGCTTTGCTCATGTCTCGGCATTCTTGTGGTTGTATTTCACAAACTACCCCGCCATGAAAAAAAGGAAATAGACAAAAGATAAAAGGTATGCAAAAAAAGTTCAGTTTCTTAAAAGTTTTCCAAAAACTTCTAAACCAGCTCGATTCCAGTAGGAAAACACATGAAGTTATTACCTTTATAATCACGACGTTAACTTCTTATAACGGCTTTTAATTGACTTTAAAGAAACGTTTTTAAGGAAGGAAAACCTCACCGAAATTCTTAAACGATAATCTCCTTAAATACTTCAGATATATTTGTTTGCTTCGAGTTGTCAAGAATCCTGATTTGTAACGGTGAGCAGTGAAATTCTGAACAATGGGAAAAGACGTCCAGCTTTCCAACTACATGCTTGGCTTCATTGGATCAACTCTTTAAAGTTCTTTACTGCTACACCACCTCGAGAACGTACTCACAGGTAATCCGCAAGCACCGTTAAGAGTGAAGTCAATATTTACATCAAAGTGTTGTCAGGGGACATTCGCTGATAATTTGTTGGAACTAATAAGCTAAACGATCTAGTGCTATTTTAAGGACAGCCATGTGTCTACAACATTCCACGAAGCCGAAGACGAGGAGGAACGAATATACTTCTCAATTCATTTAAGAAAATAATTGGATTGAGAAGCACTGTGGTTAATCAAAACTTACAATATATAAAGAGATAAAGCATGCGGTGTCGATGAATCCCTTAGGAATGAGCCATGGATTTTACTCCTTTAAACACCACAAAGGTGACTGAATGAATTTTTCGTCCATTAAATGCCTTGGACAGCGACCAAGCGATAGATCTAGTTAGTGTTTCTATTTCCCAAAGAATTCTGGCCGCCAGTTTTCCAACTATGAAGTGATGGACGCCTCAGCCTCCATGTAACCAACCTCCGTATGTGTACTGCAGAACACCTCTAACATCAGTGCAAAACGCGGCCTTATGACATATAACACGCATATTCGGAAAGCAATATTGAAATGATATTGAAACTGGTAGAACATTAAACAATGAAGAAAGGTACTCAACAATCTCTTCAGCTTGAGCGTAAGATAAAAAAATCTTGATCTGCGCTTGATTAGAAATTTAGGCTAAACTCTGCCCGTTCTAGTGAAATGACCTCGACATTTACTAATCATCGCATTTAACCTCACAGTAGCAACGTCTTCTTCCATTCGTTCATGCAGTGAGTTTGAATTCATAAGTGGATGTTTTTCACTCGACGGACTCAAAAAGATCATTGCCTTTCCGTTAAGACGCATCTTTCTTGGGTTTCCCAAAAAATGCAAACATCACGCCAGTATGTGATCGGTTATTAGGCCGATACCCTCACTCTCACCCAGTCAGAACTTTGTTTCCAAAGATTTTTTAATCATTTCCGTAATACTTTCAGTATAAGTGTTTTCCAACGTTTTCGTCTCTGCAACAACATGATTATCGTCATTGCCTAGAATTTGGTAGTCGACAAACATTTTACCTTGTCAGACTAAACGATTTCACCAAGTCATAGCACTTTTTTCCTGGAGATATTTTATATAGTTGCTCTTTAGCTTTTGGAACTGAAGCCGTTTGTATAATTCAAAAAAACTCGTTCAGTTTTTGGCCTCTTCACTGGATTCTGGTATAACAAAGAAATAATGGCTGATGGTTTTTCAAGCCTCGAATGTTCAGCAACAACGTTTAACTTTTATTCACTGTCTATTACTTTTTCATCGGCAGGGTATACTTTACCAGGAAAAAACAATATGCAGTAAATAGAGGAAAAACATCGTGATTTCAACGGTGGCTTCAGATTTACTTGGTTTGATGCCGATATGTACTCTCCAGATCATTCCCGTTGACGGGCGACTGCTGATAGTACCGTAAGGGTAAAAATCTGACTGAGAGCAAGGCGTGAGAATCCACATCTTAAAATCCGTCGACTGCCTTCATTCCGATGAAAAAGCCCTTCTCGGTACCAATTAGTGACTTTTTTGACAGCATGCGTGCAGGCTTAAAAAAAACGTTATCGCTAGATCCTTCATCGCACATATTAGGCCCACATATAAAAGGATAAAGAACGAAGCTCTCTGCGTTGATCAATCCCTGAGGGATGCGCCATGCATTCGACTTCATTAAGTATCGTTGGAGGTGATTGAATGCATATCTGGCCATTACAACGACTCGCGGTGGTCTACCGATGTATCGAGCCAGTGCTGCTATCCTCCCATACGAAACTGGCACCAATTTGCCGATCCTGGACGGATGGAAGGCTTGGTGGGCCATAGGGGCAGGGATCCACTCCACATGTGTGTTGCAGGGCGCCTCCGAGCACTATGCCACGCACGCCCTCATGCGATAAGTATCAAAGATTCTACTTATTTTCGCACCATTTGCGAAATTTGCTTTATAAATCCGCCTGCTTTGAAGAGAAATCTAAGCATCATGGAGAAGCAAAAGAAAAAAGAATGGAGTAGTGATTTGGTTGTTAGATTAACTCCCCACTAAAAGAAATTCACCTTGTCAAGATGGTGATTGTTCCAAAGCTGCAGATAGTCGCCTTTGTGATCGATGTTCGGTGACCAATCCATTATTGCGCACCAGTCCTTCATCAGCAACGGTTCGACCTTTAAGTCAAAACGATATAATGTGAGGAAAACTGGATTTGAGAAAAATGGATAGAGTTGAAAAAGTATAGTATAGAGTATATTAAAGTATAGTATAGAGTATAGTATATAGTATATATAGAGTATATTTCGCAACATAACCTGCCATTAAGAAGAAAAAGGCAGTTAATAAGAGTTAGGATAGAGTTGAGTTTTCCTTACCAGATCCAACGTTTTATAGCAAATATATGAAAAATTTTTGGAAATCTGAAAGTGGTGGCATACACATCCTTGCTCATCCCACCAACTCCAGCTTTATAAAGCAAACACTCCCGATCCCCGATGAGACTAACTACACTTCCTACACAAAACTAGTCGATAGTGCATCCAAGCAAAAGTGGTTCAGAAAAGCTATTTGTTTGTTCCTGTGAGTAAGCGCCGTTCCCGCAGCTGGATATCCATTCTGTGCTCTCCGAAGAAGTTCAGAGTCTTTGAAAAGCGGCAACACTCATCCAATCGTATTTATTTGCCCACTCTAAGGGCTAATTTAGTGGTCGTAATGGATGGGAGCAAACCGGTGGCGATGAGGTCGAATTACATTTTTCCACAGGAGGTCAGAATTCATGATGAAATCAACGAGAAGATGCTTCCTCTCTTCAAAAGCCGTAAAAATCTGGTTTAGGACCTAAATAGAAGGGAATCCGGTAGAATTTTAATCACCAACGTAATTGGTATTGAATTTAGTTAAGACTATTTGCAACGCAATCTGCAAAGAAAGAATCAGGGATGTAGAAAACCAAGAAGGCAATGATAAAACATTCTGTTAAACAAAAATCAAAAACCAAGGTAAAAACATGGGAGCAAAATCGAGAAGAATTATGAGATAGGGAAGAAATTTTTGCAGGTAAACAGAAAAAAACCAACCTTAATCCCAGCTTGTAGCATACAGAGAATTCCTTGTTTTGTGTAAAGATCACCTCGATTCAAATGCGTATATAAGAATTTCACCGTCATCTTCACATCCACCTTCTTCAGTTCCTTACGGATCTGAAAAATAACGAGGAGGTTGATGAAAATACGAGTTTAGGTCCTTGTTTCTTTGAAATAATGAAGTAGAACAAGTGGAAGATTGGTGACGAAAAAACTTCTAGTCACCAATTTTTATTTACTGCCTAGTAATTTTTAATGGCAGGGTATTACGTGATATAACCATAATGTTGCTGAGATATTGCAAAATTCCGGGCCGCAGGTGTCTGCGGTGAGGAACGAACGAGCTATTGTCCTCTCCGGGGAGTAACGCGTTCACCACCACACCATGCAGGTCCTTCGTTTCGCCTGTCTCTCAGCTATTTCTATCGATCTTTGCCACAGCAATCACCCATTAGCGGGATTGATCTGGAAAGCCCAAATCGGCAAGGAACCCAGTTACGCTGTGACTATAGTTATAATCACAATTTCAACTAATCGTTGAAGTTATATTTCGCAATATACTCTGCCGTTAAAAAAAGAGTTGGCTGTAAATAATAAGTTGAAATTGTGATTATAACTACAGCCCCAGCGTAACTGGGTTCGTTGCCGATTTGGGGCACCCAGATCAATCCCACTAATGGGTGATTTCTGTGGCAAAGATCGATAGAACTAGCTGAGAGACAGGCGAAACGAAGGACCCGCATGATGTGGTGGTGAAGGCGTTACTCCCCGAAAAGGACAGTAGCGCTGATCCCCGGTAAGGACAACAGCGCGAGTTCGTTCCCCACTGCATGCACCTGCGGTCCGGTGTTTTGCAAATATTTCAGCATCGTTAAAATCCATCACTTTGTTGATAAGTATACATGAGATTGTCACTCAAATACTATTAGACAATACTATTCTATAGACAAACGCTGACGTCTCGGCGAACATTTCTTTACTCATAGCCTCAAGTTAACTGTGACCTAGTCACTCAAGTTCTTCTATAACATCGGCAGAAAGAACGCGATACCCAGATTTCAATAGCATTGAGAACAAAACGGCTTCTTCACACTCACCGTATTCTACCACTCTTCCAGTGAGTATTACGCGTGGAGACCGACCACCAAGAACTCACATTAACAGGTAATGAGCCCCTATCCCGTTAGAACATCACTATGAGATATTGTGAGAGATGGTGTGCGATAATGAAGCATTCTTTTCGCCAGTTCATTTTTAAATTCTTACAATTTATCCAGAATGCTTCGACGGTTTTACGTAACGAAGTTCTAGATTATTTTGCGAGGGTAGCTACTTCCACTCCACAATCTTCTCCGTTATGTCTATGTGTTCCATGCGCACCTAGTTGACTATTTAGTTTAACTTAACACTTAACGCCTAGGTGTCCTTTCTTACGGATGTAGAGTGCCCTACGCATGTCGTCAATGTAGTCGTCCTCGCATGCTTTAGAGACCAGATAAATCTCGCGCGAGCTCATGCAATCATTGTGTGAACCACTAGGAAAAACTACGAAATTGCGCTTGTCGCATAGACAGTCACAAAACAGTTATGAGCTGAGTGGCATCTTAGAGTGCTCGGTGGTATTTCGATTTTTCTTTATCTCGAAAAACAGGTCCTTTTAAGATACGTTTTATAGCTGTGTTTATTTCGCTGAAAATGGACGGGAAAATAAAAAGGCCCGTATTCCCGCTTGGATTATCCTTTCGTGGCCGTGGTCCTTCCACCAAACCTATCCCGAAGAGGGACCGTTTGGCAGCCGTTGTAAACGGCTATTTGACACGTCGATTTGTGAAAAACACGTTTCCAACAGCAACAAATGTGTGGACAGGAAGAGAGCAGAAAGAAACATCCCTGGAAATAATGGTCACTTTCAATGTCCGCAAAACTCTATCTCCTCGGCGTAGGTTTGTAGGAAAAATAGTGCACCAAAACGATATGTCTAGCAAGAATAAGGTCCTGTTTATCTGTGCCATTCATTTCAAACGAAAGAAGTGCAGATATAAAACGTTGCTTAAGAAGAGTCAGCCTGGCGAAATCGGTAACAGTCATTGAAATACCACAGAGCACTGTAAAATGCCAGGTAGTTCGCTATTGCTTGTATCACCGTATGTGCACAGCACAAAATTGCATGATTTGCTCTAATGGTAGAGAAGTTGGTCGCATGAGTTCGGGTACAGTTTATCTGATCACTAGTAAAGCGTACGGAGACGAACACATTGGCGAAACGGGTGGACCACTCTATATACGTATAAAAGAACACCTAGAACACCTAAGCGTAATGTTAAACAAAATACTCTATTAGGCGCGCATTACGCAGACGTGATGAAATTGTTTTTGAAGTAGAAGTAACAATACTCGTACATAAATCGCAGGCTTCGGTGTGTAAGATCCCTGAAAGATTTTGTATAAATTCCAACAGTCGGAAAATGAACCGCGAAAGGATTTCTTCGTTATCAAGCGTGATCTCGTGAAATATCTGGGACTGAGATTTTAATGTTAGAGAGGTGCACTACCCATCTCTGTGAACATTTGTAGTTCTTAACTTGTAGCACTTAGTGGAAGACTTATAGAAAGCCGGTGAGCGTGCGAGGAAGCTATTCTGCTCCCAATGCGGTTGAAATCTACGTCTCGCAATCTTTATATAGCGGTTATGGAGGCATTTAGCTGACTAGGTCGTAGTTAACGTGATATTTCTAGGCTTTGAAAAAGGTATCATGCTTCAGGACATCGGTATTTGTGGATAAGTAGCACAGGAAACATCTCGTGTATGCTTAGCAGGCAAACAGAGAGCGAGTGACTTCTCATGAACTAACAAAGATGCTAATCTGTCATCACATCACAATCGGAAACATCTCGCGTTCCTGGCTATTACAAAGTGGCAGCCTAATAATCTGAAAACTGCTTGACTGCTTGGACTAAGCTTCCTACGTAAAGGTTTCTCCTTTGTAGTGACTGTACCCACAAAGGAATTACTTGCCTCGCATCCACGCGACGATGCCTGATTTCGCATTTGCTGAAGAATGGACATGCCCAATTTTTTGCTACAGTTACTGTGAGATCTATATATGCTATACCGGCTAATCCGGCAGTTTTATGCAGCTCGCCTATTTTATTGTGGGTCCCGTTCTATAAATCCATTTTTCTCTGCGTTTTGCAAAAATTTTACGCTTCACTTATTCTGTGTATGGTTCTTCTATACGCCTCCCATGTTTATGATGTATATACCACTCTCCCTCCCAACGGTTTACCTTCTCATCGTTGCTGGAAGGTGTTCCTGGGTGTCGGGCTCGGGCTGGGATGCACAGCGAGGGGATTGGTCCCCTGGCAGAGTCTCCCAAGCTAAGAGTCTAGAGTTCCTATTAGGGAGCCTAGTTAAGAATAAACCAATACCAGGATCCATCGCCGCCCTGGTATCGAAGTCGCATGGTGGCAAATCCCTCTCTGATATGTAATGGTTGCGACTGCCTGTGGTGGTGAAGACCTGAGGCAGACTTTGGCCAGGTTGACCCCGGGATTCTGGAGAACCACAATGGCTTAGCCAGCAAATCTCCGAAAGTGGTGATTATGCTGGAGCCCCCATAAGTAGTGAGGACGGGCCATCTAAGTATCAAGCAAGTATATAACCGCTCTTCTGCATGAAAAAAAAACACTATTCCACTATGCAGTCACACTGCTATCGACATTTAATGAAGTTCTATAACTTCAGCCAGAAATATTAGGATGTGTTCTTTGTGGTTTTGATATTCTCTCAGTCGATACGATGCCGAAAACTCATCATAAGGATTGAAAATTAGAAAACAACGAGCTGTTTATCAAGAATGATACTACACACTGCATGGCAGTTCTTCAATGAAACAACATTTCTGCACCTGCTCACTGGCCACACTCTCTAGCTAGCACTCTCTTCAGTAGCAAGAGCCTCTTCCCGCAAAGTGGATAACCGGTGAGAAATTATTAACGAGACACACGCACATGGACGACTTCTATTTCAGCATCCGTGTTGAAAAAGCTAGTGACTGATTTTCTTCGTATTTTTGTTGAGCGAACGCGAGGTGTTACTATTCTTTGTTCACGATTAAGCTGACGTTTCGGCGGAATTCGCCTTCTTCAGAGCCCGCTCACTATTCTCCTCCAGAGGTGGTCCTCCAAATATTTAGCACAAAAGTTTTCCTTCGTCTCGCACTTCTTCCACTTGGCGAACATCTGGTTTTGTCGGCTTCGTAGACAAGTGCGTAGTATTCGAAATTGGACGTCCAATACTTGCTGACTGTCCTCTGGTAGACCTCATACGTCGTGTAGTCGTCTTTGTTTGATGAAGTTCGGAACGACTTGATGTTTTAGGCAGCGGCGGAGAAAGTGTATTGACTGTCGAGTTAAGACGATCTTTTGTCTCAGTGACAGCGCTTCTTTTACAAGTCGGAAGTATTTTGCTGGTACATCTTGCAGTAACTGCCACGACCGACTTTCTATTAACCTCGGCATTGATCAAGTGATTTTCTTCGTATATTTGGAGGACCACCTCTGGAGGAGAATAGTGAGCGGGCTCTGAAGAAGGCGAAATCCGCCGAAACGTCAGCTTAATCGTGAACAAAGAATAGTAACACCTCGCGTTTGCTCAACAAAAATACGAAGAAAATCACTTGATCAATGCCGAGGTTAATAGAAAGTCGGTCGTGGCTAGTGACTGATTACAAAAAGTTTGGGAAAAGAATTCTGTGCACCAAAACAAACCATCGGAACGAAAATGAATGACACCGATAGGTGCCATGCGGGTCCGTTCCTGCATTTTCATTTTGACACCTACAGAAGTCATTCGTTACCAGTACCAGTCAGTGTTAAGGAACCGATGAAGGGCACAACAGAGTGTCCTATCACATCAACATGAACTGCTCCTCTTCACTCTTACAAGGATAACAACCATCAGCTGAGAAGAGATTGAACGCACATCCTCACAAAATTCTTTTTTAGGTTGTTAGAAGAACTGAAACTGCACGGTGTCATGGAACCTACTGCTAGATGACGAGGAAAACGACGTTGACATTTATCCAAAGTTCTTCTAACTAACTAGCGTGAAGAAAAGTGATTGAGACTTGTTAAATTTTCTTATCTCCATTACAATGCTGGACCAAAGGTAGCTGTGCGATACAGATGAAGATGTTTCTTTGGGAAAACACTATGTATATTCCATACATTGTACTGCCCAATTTTCATCATTTTCTGAAATTTCTTTCCCCAACCACGCTGCTAGTTATAGGAGTCCTTTTTCGCGAATTGGACTGTTCTTCAAGTCGTAACCGCTGGATCTATAGGGGAAAAAAGCTAATCTTTGACTTAATTTTCGCTCCAATGGTCAATCAACATTGTTACTACACTGTAGATTAAAAGGATTTTTTTCAAACGAGTTTTGGAATACTGAGAAAGTAAGCATGTTGCATTATTCACCCAGAATTCACATTTCCAATTGCTAAAAATCATTGCTGATTTAATGGTCAGGATCACAGAATTAAGGATACGCAAAATTTCTGGGTAAATTATACTTCAGGTCTCACCTTGCTCAACAGTAGGCCAAGCAGTTTCGCGCAGGCCTTGTTACTCTTGCATTCGTCGACAACTTCGCACTTCGGATCGCAATCTTGATGGAAACAAGGCGATTTTGAGACGAATATTACGACTTCATGGAGATCCACCTGCAAGTGGAATTGTGACTAGTGAGCTTTACTGGCCTCCAATTTTTGTCATACTTCGAACTCATGCCATCCAGGATTGTTGTTGTTATCAGACCACGATAGAGTTTTAAAGAAGTTACTTTACGTACAAAATCCTTATGACGTTTCATAAAAATTGTAACTCATTTTCTAAGTACTAGCGAGCAGGAAAACCTCGCAGCTGTCGATCGGTTAAGAGAGGAAGAACTCTGTACTGCACAAAGAACAGGCTTAAACTACTAACAAAAGCCACCTTGTATCTAGAAATTAGATCGTAAATGTTCGCCACTAGCTGCTCTTCAACATGTGGTTCACCTTTGGATTCATGATAGAAATCTCCTCGGTAGACATAATCATCGCCTGAAAAAAACAAACCTACCTTCAAAATAGTGTGTCATAAGAAGCGAAGTGCAAAAGAGTAAAGGAATAAGCAGAAAAGGAATGAGAATGACGAAATTGCATAAGACTGCTATTTTATTTAGGCTACAGATCGAATTTCTTCACGGAGAAAAATCACCCACCTAATAGAGAAACAATCAATCCGCTACTTTCATGTTTGTGATCCAGAAAACAATTCTGCACATGCTTCGGAATACTGAACTTGGCCGAACCATTCGTACAGTCGCCACAACATTTACAACTGTAAAACCAATTACCTTTAATAATAAAAGACTGTAAGAGATTTTCTTAGCAATGGCGTCAGCGTGTATGGCCGTAGTGAAAAAGCAGCAGTAAGTGAAAATGGAAGACCTACAGAAGAAATTCATGAAAGAATAATGAAGACAAAAAAATCGCAAAACTGATGAACTTTAACAAACATAGAGGTCGCTATAACACGTCTTTACTTTTTCGGCACTTTTCTTTTTTAAAAGCTCTTTTTCCAAAGTCTTTTCCATTGGTTTCGTCACCGAGGTGTGATGCCCCGTATAGCACTTCTATGTGTTTGATCAACATCGCCATCGTGAGAAAATGGAAACCGAGCCATGTTGGGAAGAAAATGGAAAACGTTTAGAGCTCAGCGAGAGTATTTTTAACGAAAAGAAAACTTACCTGGTAGAACAGAACTCGTAGACAGTTCGACAAGAACACTCTTTTTTAACACACTGTTTTTTGCTCTTCGCACACTGACAACCTTGTGCCGGTTTCGTTGCCTTCACCACTTTTTTTGTTTGCTCCTGTAACTTTTCAAGTTATTTACGACACCTGACATCAAATCCCAACAGCACAGATAAGAACACTGTGACAATAAAAATAACTGGGTACTGTAGAATAAAACGAATGAGAGGTCTCGGGAACTAAACATTATTGAAAAAAACTATCACTTCGCAGTAAAATCTCTTAATATAAGTCCATTTGCAATTCTACTAGAAATTTCAACTTATACGTGGTTTTAAAAAGTCAGCTGCATTAAACTTATGTCTTTTTCGAAGACTTTGCAGGTAAACATTGAACAATATTGAAAGGATAAAGTTCTCCGTGTTGATCAATTCCTGCGGGATGCGACATGCATTAGACTTCATTAAGTGTCGTTGAAGGTGATTGAATGCATATCTGATCTTTACAATGGCTCGCGGTGGCCTGCTGATGTATCGAGCCAGTGCTGCTATCCTCCCACATGAGGCCGGCAGCAATTTGCCGAGCCCGGAGGGATGGAGGACTTGGCCATGGGCGCGGGGAGCCATTCCACGTGTGTGTCACAGTGGCGCCTCCAATCACTGCGTCACACGCGCCCTTTTGAGGAAAACATTTAGATATAATATATTTGAAAAATATTCGACACTTAAAAAATCCGACAGATCTCATCGAAGAGCAGTAAATATGTAATTTACTGATGGTTTCCATTAAGAAGTTTGAATAGATTTCTCAAAGTGCTAATAAATCATCCAGAGGAGAATGAAAATTCCATTGAGCTGGATAATGATAAGCTTTCATGGATTCATAGTGAATGGTAAACTTCTCAAAACCTGTTTCCTTATTAAACTGCTTATCCAAAAAGTAGCCATTCCTTCACACTCACAATCCATACAGAAGTGCTAGTCTCCTGTGTGCGATTAGTAGAACAGCCCTTAAACCCAAATAGGGTTTTCTTTCCATCGTTGTGAAACTGCATGTAGAGCATTAATTAAAAATGTATTGCAAAAACATGTGGTCATTCGCTTCATTCTGCGCCCCATGGTCTAACTAAGCCCTTCTTTTTTTCAAGATCATCAAACAAACTGGTTCCAGAATTAACCCTTCGAGTAGATATTGACTAAATGTGTAAAGAGGACTGCCTTTTTTTCCTCGAAGGGTTCCCTGCATCAAACTGTGCGCTGAGCCATCATCGATGGTTAATGAATATTTTTAAGAATTCTCATCAGAAAGTCAGCCTGAGGATCCGGAATTGAAAATCTATCTGAGAAATTCTGAAATCGTAAGCTACACCAATATTCTTACAATGCAAAAGCCAAAAAAAAAATTTCTTCACACTCACAATCCGGTTGTTCTGTGGTTGTAATTCACATCACACCCTGCCGTGAAAATTTATAGTAGGCAAAAAATAAAATGGAAAACCGTTCTTCTTAGTGAATAATGTCGTCCACAAAACAAGGCAAGGTTCTTAAGGTTTATATGCTTTGTAACAAACACTTGTCAGTAACTCCTTGTCTCGTTGAATCAAGAAAGCAAGCACAGAGTTGGTTCGAGTTTGTTTTGGTTCATAAGCTCGCCCTAACGTGAAGATTCCTCTTCCCAAGGTAATGTAACTAATAAAAACTAAGTACACAAAAAACATAGCTTATTTGGTGTATAGACGTTTTCTCCACCAAGGTTGTCCATGATAGGATGGTCAGCACTTGCTTTCTACAACGCCCCGATGTTGTTATACTTTTCAGAGACCAGGAATTGGTTTGAGATAGAAAATTTTTTTATGATTATAACAGAGTAAACGAATTCAGTGGAAGTCGCATGAAAAAAGTATACACAACTCCCTTCTGTTTCGTCAATTCTTCATGGTGTTGATTGTGGTGTTTAGTGTTCTCTCTCAGCATCACCATTAAATATTTAGTGCGAACTCAGAGATAGCAATCTCACGTACGAAAATGAAAACGAATCCTTGGTGCATGAATCCTGTCAAGTGAATGTTTTAATTAACAGCATTTTTCGTGGATGCTTACAACTACGCAGACTGCTAATTAACCCTACGAACTTCCAAATAACAGCATTCCCGCTTAGTGTTTTCCGTCAAATTTTACATGCTGGTGTGTTTACGCCTCAATCTACTATTTCGAAAAGATTGTAAACACGGATAAGGAGCATTTTTATACGTGCAACACAACAGAAATTTGATGAAGAAGTAATGTTAATATCGTCATTTTTTTCTTTCCTTATTCTTTTTCTTTCCATTTTCTTTTCTTCATTTTTCGTTGAACAAATAATCGCAAAATAAATTCTCTTCTTTCAGATATGTTTTAAGAGGCTTTTATTTATATTAAAGCTCACACTTAGGGATCAACAAGAGAAATCGGGATGCTGTACACTGGGGCATCATAAGGCTGAAAACTCTAACAGTAACTTAGTCAGTTTTGTATTAAACAGATACCATAGGAAAATGCCAAAACCAAATTACAAGAAGGAAGGTTAATAGTCAAAAGCAAGTCATGTCGATCCTCTTCTCAAAAACCCTAGTGCTTTCGAGCGTCTTCATTACTTTTGACTATTTTCGGACTAATGGAACCATGAGTAAAAGGGAATGGCAACGATAGCGAAACGAAAATCTGTAGATACGGTAGAGAGCTTCTATAATTTACCCTATTCTTGCAGATTTGCTTGCATGCGCACAATTTACTGCATCCTTCTTTGATTCGTAGGCAGTCGCAGCGTTCGGCTTTTGAACAGGCATTCTTTGCCGGTTTTGCCGGATCCACTTCACACGAACACTTGCAGATTGCCTGATTCAGACAGTCGCCTCGGTACCTGGAAGCACACAACCAGTTGAAGATGATCGCATTTGTGTTGTTGGGTGAACGCATTCTTCAACCTTCACATAGCACAACTTGTTTGTAAGAAGTTTGGTCGAAAAAAAAGCGCTAGTGGTAATGAAAACGACCCCGTGGGAACAGTTTGCGATGGAACTGCAAGCGTGTTCCCCAATATGTTTCCTCTATAGGCAAATACCAATGGTTTTAAATGATTATAAAGCTTAAAAAAAACATGATAACATAGACATGAAAAACATTGTATTGCTGTTGTCGAAAACATTAATTATTGAAAAGCTCACGAAGCCTATTAGAGCTCCTGAGAGACAGAATAATTTGCTCACAGACTACAATTCTAAATTCTTTTAGAGGCAGGTATTAAAGTCTCCTCCGTGGTCGTAAAACTAGTATCAGACCTATGTCACTCATCCTTTGCAGTATTACTATGGATAAGGGACGTTTCTTAGTGTTGAACTGCTGGCTACTCGAAGCAGTTTCATGCTCTCCGTAGGAGCACTCAATACGATAAGGAACTCGACATTCTCACGCAGAAACTCGACCAACGGTAAGCCTAGAATACTGTATAGCCTGGTGGTCTAACCTGAATGTATGAAAAAAACACTGAAAAAAGAGGCCTTGTAGCAAAAGGGATTTATGTTCTTGTTTCTCGGATAAATAGAACCCATTGAGTGGCTACTATGCTCGCCGAGACTGAGCGAAGTTTTTGAGAGCGGCTCAAGCTACTCGACAATTAGGTGAATAGCGAGAGGTGTTATGAAGTGAAAACCAATCCCAATTTATTGGGTTCGTCAACGTTTTCCATGATATGCCCTTCATATGCCTTCAATACAATCATAAGCTCTTTTTCTACGTCCCTCATAAAGGAACGAAAATTTGTTATGTGCATATTTCCATATCTAAGGAAGAAATAGAAGATGATAGTAATTTTAAAAAGTTCCATTAACATAAATTGCTGAAAGCCTCAAGCTAAAGTTTCGTGTTTGCACAGACGAAATTCGATGCTTCTGAATGAATACATGCTTAATGTGTAGTTAACTTGTGGATGGCTTGAGTCCTGTCATAGACAGATATGTATCATCCCCGTACCTGCCATTTCTTACCTGTTGTAAAAAAGTTTTGACTTGGATTTTCCAACTTTCACCGAGTTTTCATCCAATTCATATTGTTTCCTATGACTAAATACCAACCACATTGAACAGAGAGTATGTTGAATATTCGCTTTTCAGCTTTTTCACTTTCTTTGTCTTCGACGTGATTGTCACATGCGCTTGGCACTCAAACTGGCCATTATTGGCCATTTTGAGCCATCTGTTAGGTGTTGATGAAGAACGTACTCACATCAGATGTCGCTTAAAGGAACGGTCAAGAAGCCAGATTAGTTTAATAATTAGGCGATTACGTTACTTCTAGAGGAGTCGTACGATGCGAAAGTACGAGCCGCATTCAGATTTAGATCGACATGCCACAGCTCATAGTACATTTTATTAGTTTCATAAAATTATTGAAACCTATAGCTCGTTTCTACGACATAAAACTTCATTTGTCCTACCACGTTAAAACTTTGACCTTCTGGAACCCATGAGATGTTCTTCTTTCGTTTTTTTTGTTTCAAGGCCCGGGTTTTAATCACTGATGCAAATGAATAGGCGGGATTTCGTCCAGAATGACACGGTGGTGTTCTCCAGTGTTCTTGTTTACAGCTGCCGCTTCTGCGTTGGAAACTTTAAAACTTCTAAATTTCATTTCAGTGTTTCAGTTTCAAAATCCTGATTCCAAACACATTTAAATGTGTAAGGAAACTCTACAAGAACTATATGCGCGATTAATGCGGGAGAACAAAGTCTCTTCTTCTCTATAAACCTGTACTGTCTTAAACTCTAATCAACAAGAAATTATTGTCAGTTATCGAAAGATAAGTTTCGCCACGAAAATGTTCAGTCCCTAGCGTTGAACTTAGAAAACATAGTGTGGCTATCTTCTCACTAAAAACTAAGGATAAATGTTCGAAAAGCATGATGAGCTTCGTGTCCCTGGAGTGAGCGAAGCTTATTGGATAGCCTCGAAGCGCGTAGAGATAGATGGAGCCTTTATAGAGTGGTCATTCGAGTTTCTCGATGATTAAAACCATTTCAGCTGATAAGGGCGATAAAGGTTTTCGCTGCATTATCGCTGCAATGGGTTAGCTGCCCAGATGTCTAACTACTTATGAGACATTGCTCTAAAATGACTCAACAACGTAGTTAATAAAATGTAGTTCTTTTGCGACTAAGGCACTAAAATGGTATTTAACTGCTTTTCAGGAAATATTTTTCAAGATGCCTACGAAATAGTTTTTGCTTCATCTTTTCCAACATTGGCGTTCTGCTCCGAAACGAACTCCTGTTCTAATTCTTCCTGTTATTGTGACATGAATCATAGGACAAAATTTACTTGCACTTTCCCAAAACCACTTCTGTTTCCAATTCTAAATTGTAATTAATGAGGAATAATGGAGGAAAGCTAGAAAAAAGCAAAGATTTCTGAACAAATTCAAAGTTAAGGGTGCAGAAAAAACTCCTTGTCCAATGACAACGCTATACTTAACGTTTGTACATGCCAACGAATATCAATACCGTTCATTGATAAACACATGGCTCGATTATGGCATGAGTTTTCTGGGGTGGATAAGTTCCTTGAAAATGGACAGGATTGGAGACGATTCATTGTCATCGGTGATGAGCTTTTTAAAACACTCAATGAAGCAGAACCACCCATACACAACGGTATGAGAACGTGAGGAGGGACAAAACTTGTGTGTAGCAATAACTCTGGGGCATTCTGTTCAGAATAGGAAGTCAGAATCAGACCTGCAATAGCTGGCTGCTCCAAAATTAATCGAAAAGCAAAGAGACTATTGCAATGAAGCGAAATCCACAGAAAAAAGTCGACAACAGTAACGATCGTCATCGTAACACAAACGGTACATTTCTTGCTCTCTGTTAGAGATGACGAAAAAATGGACACCGTATGACAATCGGAGTGGTGCAACCGTAGGAAAATAAAGCATCGAAACTCTTATCAGAGCCGACAATTAACGATCTAGCACTTTTAATGGATAAAATCAATCATCAAATAAATCATAAAGCTAGAAGGACAAAGCTCTCGGCGTTGATCAAACCCTGCGCCATGCATTCGACTCCATTTAGTATCGTTGAAAGTGACTGAATGCATATCTGACCTTTATAATGACTTGTGGTGGCATACCGATGTATCGAGTCAGCGCTACTATCCTCTCAGACACGTCTTGTACCAATTTGCTGAGCCCAGGGCGTGGGGACGATCCCATATGTGTCGCAAGGCGCCTCCGACCACTGTGCCTTACGCGCCCAAAAAATAAATCGTAACTTCGTCAATCCCAATAAGCGCTGCAGCATAGAAGCGTTGTCATGACATATAGCGAAATTAATCCATCAAGCGAAAGCAATTCTACGATACGACAATTTCCGACAACATGTCGCATAATAAATGTGCAAAAAGCTAATGACATAAACTAGGGAATTAAGAAATCTGCTTGATCGAAATTGCTCACTGTGCCTCTCATGAAATGACTAACCACTCTTGCTAGGAACTCGATAACTTCTTCCTGGAATAATCTTTCGCAAAGAAACTGATAGTGGAAGTTCCCTTGATACATTTGTGAGCTGTAAACGCTTAAGAGTTTTTGGAAGCTGAACTCTGAAAAAAAAGTGCGGATTACAACGGTTTCGGTTTCTACTAACAGCGTTTTCAATAACATGAGACGTGTAAAGTTCATGGAGAACATCAAGAAGAAAAATTGTTTCCAGGTCTTGCTAAGTACTCTGATATCATCAAAGCCTATCACAGCACACAGCCATACAAAAAAGACCAAAGATTGAAAACTGCAGTCATTTTAGTCTAACAATTAACAACTACGGTCCTCCTCTACAAAAAAATATCTCAGATGATCTCACTCATATGCTATCTGTCGCTTCATCACTGATAAACTTACGATACGCTCAACGCTCATGAGCTCTGTCAAAATCCACCTTATAGACAGGAAAATAGGTTCTGAAACTTTAGACCACCTACTACAGCAACCGAAATCCTCAAATATTCTTTAACTATGGTAATTGAATATAATGCTGAGATATTTGCGAAACTTAGGACCGCAGGTGTATGCGGTGGGGAACGAACTCGCGCTGTTGTCCTTACCGGGGATCAGCGCACTTCACCACTACACCATCCGGGGCCTTCGTTTTGACTGTCTCTCAGCTAGTTCTATCGATCTTTTTGCCGTCATCAATCACCCGCCAGCGGGATTGATCTGGGGAGCCCAAATCGGCAGTAGGCAGTAAATAAAAGGGTTAAGATTGTGATTATAATTAAGCCTCAGCTTAACTGGGTTCAATGCCGATTTGGACTCCCCAGATCATTTGTGAGATATTTCTGACTAAAAAAAGTTGGTTCGATTCATCAGCAATAAGAACAAATGTTGAAAACGAAGCTGAATATTATAAACCCTATAAACGGCTTGCAGTTTCCCTAAATTACCACGAAACTTTTTCCTTGAACCCAATAAGGGCTTTACAAACGGAGTTCCACTCACACTGACAGACGTGATACCCGATGAATGATAGGTCCCGCGTGGTATATGGGCATTGCGCTGTCGTGAAAAGGACCCTTGGGGCCCACCGTCGACGCGAGATCTTTTATGTTTTAGTGCACTGACTACTCCACAAAATAGCTCAATGGCTCTAAGATATCCGGGAACTTCTACTCCAACACTGACGAAGAAGGAAAAATCGAGACTCCTTCGAAGATCCTATAGAATTTTCAAATGAAAGCCTTCGAAGGCCTATATCATTTTATTCGTATGCAGTTTTATTTACCTAACTATTTGGATATTTAGATGGCCCATCCTCACTGTGCGGAACCCAACATAATCTCCAGTTTTTCGGAGACAGGCTGGTTTAGCCATTGTGGTTCCCTGGAATCGCGAGGCTATCGCGGCCAATGTCTGCTCCAGGTCGTCACCACACCAGGCAGTGGCCGCCTTTTTGGATCGAAGGAGGAACTACTACCCTGCGACGAGTTTGATACCATGAAGGCATCTTTGCATTGGTTGCATTGGTTTATTCTTAGCTTGGCTTCCTGATGGAAACGCCAGACTCCTCAGCGAGGCATACGCTGCTGGAAGGATGAACCCTTTCGCTGTACATCACAGCCGGACGTCCAGGAACACCTCCCAGCCACAACGAGACAGTAAACTGTTCAGAGGCAGTTCCATATAGTTCGTATAATTAAATAAACTGATAAACAACCATTACGTTTCCTTTTCACCTTTAACGAGGTACGGCACACATAATTCATATTTTTAAACTTTTTGTTTTGTCCATTACATGTAAATGATTAGGAGTACTACTTCCTCAACACTGATAGTTTTCATTGTCATTTTCATCCTTTTTCGTAAAAGTCCCTTCATTTGGTTGTATATTGGATTATACTTTGTTGAAAGCCTTGACTAGACTGCTTTTCTTTATTGGCTAAATCTAACCTTAAACTTTTATGAAATTCAACTCACAAATGCAGACTATCTTGTCACCATACCCATTAATCTAAAGTTGTTCAATCGATCTGCTTCAATAAAATGTGCCACGATTACCACCGATATACCTAACCCTACTAAAAAAGAGAAACAGTGGACGAATACTGCAAAAGATAGGCTTCCTATTAATCTTGGCATCAACTGACTTTTGTTGTCCTACTAACCATCCTTTTCAGTTTTCAGTTTTGCGCCTTTCTTCTCCACGAATAGTGGTAACGAACGAGTAATTGTAAAAATGTTCGTCGTCTTGCGCGAACAACATATGGCCTTCCCTCGCTGACAGATTCATAGCGTAGCTCGTTTTTCGACAATAGACCACGATTTCTCGAACACATTTACTACCTATTACAATTTTTCATGGCAGGGTATTACGTGTGATACAACTGCAATGATGTTGAGATATTTGCAAAACGTCGGACCGTAGGTGTCTGCTGAGGGGAACGAACGCGCCATTACCCTTTCCGGGGTTAATGCGTTCACCACTACACCATGCGCATCCTTCGTTTCGCCTGTCTCTCAGCTAGTGCTATCGGTCAGCGCCATTAGCAATCACCCGTGAAATGAAACAAATATTTTTTAAACAGTGTCCCTTCCAATTCAAATGCGTTGATGACATCATGAACTTTTAAACAATTAAAAACGAAATTTAGATTCATAAATTTTCCAGCATAAGAGTTCATGAAAAAATGTGAGAAGTAACAGCAAAATCTTCATGAAACGCCAGCTTAGAACGGATTTAACCCTTAAACCTCTAAACAGTGCTATAAATTTTTTACCACGTAATACGGTCGAATAAAATTCAGTGACACTAAAAAAACAGGACATGCAATGTATTTCTTTGAAGGCCTTCCAAAGAGGGAGGCGACATAAAAAGTAAGAGATAAAAGGACATTGCGTTTGGCGTCGACGAATATCTGAAGAATGCACCATGCATGTGACAGCATTCCTAGAATCACAGAGCAGATCGAATGCACACCTATTTACACAACATGCGATGGCCAACCGACGTATTAAAGCAGTGTTTTGAGAATCCCAAAAAAATCTAGCATCACTTTTTCGACTACGGAAGGGTGGAGCGCTGGGTTTAATCCCGTTTGCATTGCAAGGCACACCTAATCACCGCGCTATGCACGCCACTTATACAATTAAAGCTAGAAAAGTTCCAAACGTTGATCAATCCCTGAGAGTTGCGTTACGTATTCAAGCGACTTCATGAAACATTGTTAGAAGTGAATGAATGCATATCTGGTCTATACAATGACATGCGGTGGTCTACCGATATATCGAATCAGTGCTGCTATCCTCCTAGACAATTCTGTTACCAGTCTGCATTCCTGGAGGTATGGAGAGTTTGTTGAGCGTGAGAGATCGGGATGGAAATATTGACCACGTTTGTGTCGAACGGTGCCTCTAAGCACTGCACTACACGTGTTACTTATACAGTTGCTAAGAAAAAATCTAACATTATGACATATGCAACCTTCATTAAATACTCAAAAAGGAAATGAGCGAAAAACTACACTACTGGTTAAAAATCTGTCTAGGTGGAAAGCAAAAGGTAGGGGCGGCAAAGGAATTTCCAAACTGCAATTTTAAATTCCATGAGAAAAAAGAACTATGTCGTTATAGGCGATTCTTTTAGTTCTTCCTTGATTCGTCGTAGAGCCTTTTGAAGCAATATATTTGGTTCCTTTAATCTTGTTGCTTATTGGAAAAGATAACCTAAAATAAGTTAATAGGTGTGCCTCGAAGACCTTGAAATACACCTATAGCGGTTTGCTCAAGAATAGATGGTAGAACTGAATATGACACGCTGAGGAAACAGAGTTCATTCCCAAATAAGACATTCGAAAGGCAGGATGAATCCTCGAAAAAGAAGAGAATACCAAAGAACTATCCAGGATAATTCATGAAAATGGAGGATCTGTTCGGTGACTTATATCTTTTCAGCAGTCGAAACGAGAAGATTGTGCTAACAAACAATGACTTATAACAGAGCACAGGATAAAAACACTTAAGGAGAACGCTTTAAGTGATTAGCGTAAAAAGATTTCTTTTCTCGCTAATTAATTTCAGGAGTAGTTTCCTTTGATGAAAGCGATACGTTCTTTCTGGTTAGACAGATTACCAACGAAACAGCTTCGAAATTTTTTTTGCTGGACGTTTGCCAGTGTACTGAACTTCCGATGCCCGATGTCAGTGACGAAAGCTGTGCATTAACGAAATTGAATGGGAATCAATATGAGAAGAGGGAAGAAATGCAACACATAAAGGATTCACACAGACGAGAACTAACATCGATTCGTCAGCAACAGGTGAGCCGAAGACAATGATGTCCAGGAGGATGATGGGGGTGGGGGTCACTACTGTCAGAAGCCGTTAACAGCGCACGTGAGAGCTTGCGGAATTCGATAAAACCGAGACGTCATCTAACGAAAACGATCTAGAAAAGAAAAAAGAAAAAAAAAAGAAAGGGAAACAGGTAAGTGTGTTTCCTATTCTGTATTCTGGAATCATTAAGCAAATACTATGTGGAGACAGCCGTTAAACCCATAAACAATAAACAATGGGAAAGGTGATAAGCGGTGAATTTCAACATTGACAGCATACACTTTTTCTGGCCTAATCTCTCATATGTACATATTTACACGACCAGCTGGGAAAGAGATGTCACATCTCCAAGCATACCACTAGAAAGTTTCCCTCGATCATTTCTTCTTGCTCAAAGCAATAATAATAAATGTTTTAAACAAAAAGTGAACTTTCCTTGTTCTGAATCTCTCTAAAAGAATAAAGCGAATCAGGTCCAAAGACTGCGTAGAGAAGAATAGAGAGACTTAGTGTTACTCCCCTGGGCCATAAGACGATTAAAAGATGATTGGTGTCGCTAATGCATGTGAACAGTCGTTTAAGCTTTTCAGGGAGATTTAGAGAGTTAAGGTAATAAAATAGAGGAATATTTATATTCAGCCAACATATCTGAATGAAATTCTATCGTTATAGCTTTTCTGCTCATAAGATTCACATTGTTCTCATGGAAACCTTATTCGCACGCGTCACCACAGGGAACAGTGAACAAGAGTAGAAGAAAGAACGCTTGTGTCACATTTGTCACATTATTCCTCCTTAACAGGAATTCTCCAGAAGAATTGTTGTTCATTGTGAATCCGTTTTCACTCATTTATCTCTCTAAGTTCACAGTGATTTAAGCATGCGTACCGAACCAAACTAAAAGAAAAATTGGAAGAGTAATGACCGACCTGGTACTTTCGCAGTGCTCATCGCAGGTTTTTCGTGCAGCCATACAGGGACAGTTGTCGGCACTGCACCGGCTCTGTGTAGCTGCACATTCGCAACAGAAATTATTCACACGGCTCATTTCACTGGTCATTTTTGAAGGATGTTTAGCAAGCTTTTAAACAGAATAATGTGTTCGCTAGTAAAGTGTTTAAACCAGAAAAGGGTGGGAAACTGAAAATCAATAGTGGCACTTGGAAAAGTGCCCAGAGAAGAATCACAGCCACTTCGAGCCTAGCCACCGTCTGCTACTGCAATATGTTTCAGCTGCGAATAACTACGAAGCGATCGGAAAGCGTTGACGGATACGCTACGAAGGATGTTGTGAGTTACGACGAAACGACAAGCGACGAGCGGCTTCGATTAGCTGCAAGTAGGCGGGTCTGGGAGATGGCAGCATGCCAGCTGACCAGCGGTCAATCCGGCCTCCACGCCTTTCTCCCATTCATCTAATTGGCACGTCGCCGGGACACCCAGCCTACGCCAGTTCGGGTGTCCCCCACGTCTTCCGATTGCATTGATTTGTGGGATTCTGGACAAGACAACACGACCACTTCTTTAGCGGAAAGTGTGAACTGAACTACTAACTTCCAGCGATCTCTTGGAAATTATTTAAAAGTTGTTTGAACGATCTAAAAGCCAAAGGAGATTCAGAGTAGCGAGTATTTCACTATAAATGGAACCTATTTAACTTGGAAGTACTTCTTAGAAAGCTGAGAAAAGGAAGATGTGTCTAAATATTATTACAAATGCAAAGTTCATGAAATAATAACTCCTTAATCATGAATATTTTCATAATACTGTCTTAGGTGACTGCAATTATAAGCAGGCATTTCTACTCGGTAGTCTAGCAAGGTGCAGATATATAGCATGGCCGAGGTCAGCGATGATTTCGGTTCTTCCTGAGCCGGTGGTATCCATCGTAAAGTTTTGGTGCTGAGCAGATACAGGTGGAATTAATTGACGCCACCTCAAGTTACTTAATTATTAATGGTGTACAGACGGTAGAGGTTATGCGGTTACCGCTAGGGATTGAGGATAAAGTTCGTTGTTGATCAACCTCCCGAGAGCTGCTGCTTGAATTAGACTTCATTAGGTATCATTTGAGGTCACCGAATGTATATCTAGTGTAACAGTAGTCTGTTGTAGAACACTAATGTGTCAAATCAGTGTTTTTCTCTTCCCAGGCGAGGCTAAAACCAATTTTCCTACAATGGAGGAATGGAAGTCTTCGTGGGCCAGGTCCCTTATCAAATCAGCAGCCACGTGTATATTGCAGTGCACTGAAGCACTTGTATCCTTTCGACTGTTACCAAGCTTTTTCGTTTTAAAATAGGGTATTACAGCAGTTTTTGCGTTCCGTAGTGTTGTTTAGTAGTGCAAATTTTTGGAAAATGTTTCGAAGGAAAGCACTTTCTTTCCTTTTCTAGTTTTTTTTGCACAAAGGTCTAACCCAATCTGAGAGCTTAAGACAAAATAAAAACCGAAATATAGTAGCGAAATTCCTTTCGAATCTTTTTACATAAAAGAGAGATGAACACAAAATTATGGAACAAAATCATATACCTACCATAAGTTGGTAAAATAAAACTGGGCTCTTTAACAGATTTCTGGAGAGTTACTATTACTGATTAATGGCTGAGATATGCCGTCTGCTCATCCGATACTTCCGTTGTCGCGTTAGTAGCATGGAAAATTCAAAAGTTACACGAGAAGCTAATTCCAAAAACACTTGAGCTCGAGTGCCAGCGTTGAACTGCACTAGCAGAAACCAGCCAGCAAATTACTCCGAGGTGGCAAAACTCTGCAAAAGCGAAAAGTTTATAAGAAAAAGAGAACGTCATTATTAACCCAAGTAGCATTGTTAAGAAAGAGCAAGTGCAGGTGTTATCGAAACTCTTTCCTCTGTTTTACTTTCTTTTATCGAGCCAATTATATAGCCAGAGTGCCTGGTAACCTGCCGAAGAAATCACTCTACCTAAAAAAGCAAGGAGCAGATCATTCATAGCTTATTTCTGCAACTTTAACAGCCATGTCTACCTGCCTCGAAATCTCAATTAAAAGGGTATGTCATTCCTACAGCTCTGACATAATGTCTCAGTTGAATGAAATGCCAGTAGTTATGTACAACCTATCTACCAAGGTAGTACCGAACAGGAAAAATAGGTAGGACATTGTGTGAGAGAGATCCGGGAACTAGCAATTTGAGAGTGAAAGGAGTTAATTAAGGTGGACCATACATTTACGGTTACGAATCTTATCTATGCAGTGCAAAGGTACACGGCACCCATGAACTCAATCTCATCAACTTGAGAACGGCATTTAAAACAACGGGGAAGCAGGCGGTGGTTGCTCTGGACAACCAGAGCTGCTGTGTTCCTTATAAAACAGCTCTTACAAGCTATATAGCGCAACTCAAAGTCAAGAGTTGACCATTTCATAACAAGCTATTAAAGGTTAAAAAGGATAAAGTTTTCAGCGTAGATCAGCGTCTGATGGATTTGCCGTGAATTCGACTTCATTAACCATTGTTAAAGGTGATCGAATGCATATCTGGTCCATGAAATGACTCGCAGTGGCCTACCGATCTATCGAGCCAGAGTTGCTATTTTCCCAGACAAGTTTAGTACCAATTTTCGACCCTGGTGTGATGGAGGGCTTGGTGAGTCTTGGGAGCGGGATTGACTCCGTGTGTATTGTAGGGCGCCTCTAACAAATTTGTTACGCACGCCCCTAGCAAGCTGTTCCCGACACAGGAATGGGTCTGACAAGGCAATACCACTTCGACAAAACCAGGTACCGCCACTTTCGAGAACGTCGTGCGAAAAATAGAATGGAGTAGACTACGAGTAGAGAGCGATAACCGACAACTGTTTCATTTTCTACTTCTGCTATCACTAAGCTCTCTACCATCTTCGCTTCATCATTATTCCTAAAATTTCAACACTGCTCGTTAGCCTTGCGAATGCTAAGCGAATGCTGATCAGTTCAAACGGAAATTCCAGCGAAAGAAATATGTCTTTGGTTGAGTTCGTAAAGAAAACGGCCTTTTTGAGAAACGAACTCTTTGCAATGCTTTATTCATGTTCCATAGAAAATATCTTCTAATCCTTCAAACCTGGTTTTCAGGTAAAAAATTCAAAATAATAGACTAGTTAGCATCAGAGCATACTAGAAGGATTTGAGCGACTTGACGAGCTCACTAGAGTATTGAGGATGTAGAGTAGATAAAAAAGTCAACGACCACACTCATTTTTTCGATTCTGTGGTTTGTTTTTTAAGGTATACATAAAAATCCTGAACTTTGGTTGAAAATCATGTGAGTAAGAAATAAGATGCGGTTTAACCACTGCTGCAAGACAATAGTCTCTAGCAGAAGGCCCTGTAGAATATCAACTGTGCGAAAGGATGACCACTGAATTAGGTAGGAAATGTAGTGCTCATAGTGTTCCCACAATGGTTAAAACCTAGTGTGCCAACTCTTTCACGCAATAGAAACAAATAGGAACCATCTGGCTCTTTTTTGGAGAGATTCGACGAATTAATAGGAGGATAAGTCATACAGGTGAATTCAGGATGGTTTGTTTACCGAATGCTTAGCGCATCGTCGTGGCTAGAGCGTGTTTCTAAGTGTCGATGTATTCCGTATTACAACTTGGAGTTCTTATCTCTTCTCTTATCAGGACTGTCAAACCCAAGAAAGTGGCTGAAATTTTTTCTCGAAATTCAGATAAGAATAAATTATTCAATGACAACGTCCAGCTATTCTAGAATGCCTGCTAGCAAAAAGGAGTGACAAGAAGCTCTTCCATGATCTTTCCGTGTCCCACAAACTATGCAAAGATCCAAGAGTGTTCTCATACACGACGATGAAGAACACAGTATCGGTGAGGTCGTTTAAGGCACTAAACGATAAAAGGACTATGATCGATACAAGTGGTATACTTCGAACAGTGCTTAAATAAAAAGGAAGAAGCTCTCCGCGTTGATCAATCCTTGAAGGTGCGCCATGCATTCGACTTCATTAAGCATCGTTCGGAAGTTATTGAATGCATATATGGCATTTACAATGACTCGCGGTGGTTTATCGATGTATCGAGTCAGCACTGCTATACTCCCAGAGAAATCTGGTATCAATTTGCCGATTCCGGAGGGATGGAAGGTTTGGTGGGCCATGGACGCAGGAATCGATTACCCTCGTGTGTTGCAGGGCGCCTCCGACCACTGCGCCAGACACACCCTTGACCGGTGTTTATTTTCTGAAATTGTTGTTCCAAAACCATAAAGGTGTATCACGGCATTTTTTCACGAATGTGTTTATGTTGGAAATAAAGTGCACTGATGCGCATAGTTGTTCTTCATTAACCTTATATCGACGACATGGCTTAAAAACACAGCTAGAGCAAGCATGTTCACAGAGGTTAGCCAATAAGACCAACGATCTAAACTAATGCACGACCCTTTAGTTTATGATGAACGCCTGGTATTTGAAGGGCAGTAGTGGACACCATTCTGGCGTTATCCATTACTGAATGACGATCAGAATTTTAGCCTCATGGGTAAGGATCTAATGGTATGCGACGTAGAAAACGTTGAGGCACGTACAGCTCTTGAGAGCACAGCTATCAGCTAGCTAATTCAGGGCATTTTTCTGTTTAACGGTAGTTTTCGCTCTAGGATAATACTGCCGACTTATATGGTACATTACGACGATATCTAATTCTATGCATAACTTTTTATTCACTGCGTATCATTTTCCTTCACGGCAGGGTTTCATGTGAAATAAAACCACAATGTTTCTGAAAAATCTGCAAAACGTGGACCCCAGACCAGATTTGAGCCCACGATTACACTCTCTAGAAGCTTCTAATTTTATGTCCGCCACCTGCAGTTTACACGAACTTTCCAAATTATCCACTAAGCAGAAATTGCGAAAACAAGAAAAGCAATCGCTTGACATTTGTGTTAAGTGTTATGCTTGTAATTTTAATTCTGACAGCGTAAAAAAGAATAAATACTGGTTTCCTGTGAAAATACACGCCTTTCATCCCAATCAACAAAATTCAGCGAGCGCTAGTATACGTCGTAGCACTTCTGCTATTTCCCTGTCGCAGTTATTGTGTTATGTGCCAGTTTAGTTAGAATAAGTAACGAATGAAGAAAACATGATGAAGGTTGAATTACGGGAACTCTTCCGCTTTTTGGGCTGCTAGAAGTTTTCATAGCAATAAACTATTTCGCATACTACACCGTTAATTATCGAAACGAAAGGCTATATACACTCCCTGATCAAGGTCCTTTATAAACGAAGTCTCACAATCAGACCAGTGATTTCGCTCTTGTACATTTGACGTTTCACAAGTCGTTTATGGCTTCTTATAGCTTCTCTTGAGCGATTGCTGTTATGACGCACCCACTTGATTTCTGAAAGCTTGCCTTCCCTAATCTTTGTT